AAATCCCTAAAATTTCATTTTCTTATTTTTTATATAAAGAGGTTGGGGCTACTTGCTACCTACGGAAACAAGTTCCTTTTATGATTCTGTTGCTCTGTAAAGTAGTGTTTCATTTATTTTTGAACTTTCTTCAGAATACTTCTCAAACATCAGCAATTTTATTAACTAAAGTGTGTTATATATTGTTGGTTTTGTAAATTACCATTTATCCCTTCTCAGTTTTTGTTTTTACAGATTGAAGAATACTTTTGTTTTTCTTAATTAAGAGTTTTCATCTATGAAATCTGACTTCACAAAATGGATCTTATTAATCATGTCAGTCTTTCTCTCAGACTTGTCCAGTTATGTTTTTACTCTTTCTCTTTTTCCTTTTTTCTCCTTTCTGACATTTTTTTCATGGTTTTATTTATTTTACTCTCTTACCTTAGTTTGAAGCAGCATGGGCACTAACTAATATAGCATCTGGAACTTTTCTGCATACCAAGGTAGTGATTGAAACTGGGGCTGTTCCAATTTTTATCAAACTTCTTAATTCAGAACATGAAGATGTTCAGGAACAGGTAAGTTAAGTTTCTAATTTATTATGTATTATGTAAGTTAAGTTTCTAACTTATTATGTATGTTAGGTATTAATTTTATCTTGAAAATGCCATTTGTAATTATGATTTGTAATTTTTTGTGACTAATTTGTACATTGCACTTGTTAAAAACAGTAATTTCTTTTCAGTATCAGATTAGAAGGGTAAAAGAATGAACTGTCTGGGGCATAATTCTAGATTCTTAGTAAGAGTGATATCAGCTAGCATAGGAAGCACTCTTTTTATTTACAAAACAATGTACTGAGACCCAGAAAAGTTAATAGTTTACTTGAAATCATGAATGGCTGGTAGGTTTTAAAGCTGGGTCAGTCTAACTAATTATTTTGTTTGTGGGGGGAGTGGTTATTATATTTTTCTGTTTTTAATTATTACATTACTTTGAATAGAACCATTTTTTAATGTACTTCATGAATATATTTTCAAGATTTTCTTGTAAGAGGGAAAATTTGATCAAATATAATTGTACCATCCAAAGAAAATAAGTTATTTTGGTATTTTTGTTTCACATCATTTTTATGCATGTTGATCTATAGGTCTCTCTACCATTCCATTCCATTCGTCACCTTTTAAAAAAAAAATCTACTACTTAATATGAATATTGGGAGGTTTTTCTTATATATTAGTTATTCTTCCAAGAAAATTTTCCTGATTACTGAGTATAAACTCAGATATTTTCTATAATTTTCTATCAATTACTTGATTGTACATTTATTTCCAGTATTAAAATTATTGTGATGAACATCACTATATGCAATTTTCTTATACCTCTCAATTTTTTATTAGAGAAAATGACTACTCTACCAACAGATCTAAAATTGCTAAGGGTCTTTTTACATATTTCAAAGTTGGTCTCTAAAAATAATATCTACATCAAGAGAATATAATAGGGCTGGGGATGTGGCTCAAGTGGTAGCGCATTTGCCAGGCATGCGCAGGGCTCTGGGTTC